GAGGAGGAGGGGAGGAGAGGAGGAGGAGAGGAGAGGAGGGGGAAAGAGAGAAACATCGATCTGTTGTTCTACTGATTTATACATTCATTGGTTGATTCTTGTATGTGTCCTGACTGAGGATTGAACCTGCAACCCTGGCATATCCGGACGATGTTCTAACCAACTGAACTACCCAGCCAGGGCCCAAATAATTTATTATTATTTTTTTTGGCAGACTGTTAAAACCATAAACCATATATATGTTTTTTTTAAAAAAAATGTTTTTACTCATTTCAGAGAGAGAGAGATGAAGGGAGAGGGAAAGACAGAGAGAGAAACATCGATTAGCTACCTCCTGCACACACCCTACTGGAGACTTAGCCTGCAACCTGGGCATGTACCCTGCCTGTGACTTGAACTGGTGACCTTTTGGTGTAAGGGACAGTGCTCGACTAACTAAGCCACACCAGACAGGGCTATTTTTTAATATCTCTAGGAATGGATATTTTGGAGCCTCAATAACCCTATTTTAGAAATAACGGAAGTGACAAGCCTGACATCTGAGCCCTCTGTCCCTGCCATCCTGGGAAGCGCAGGAGAGCTGAAGGCCTCAGCACATGGTGGAGAGACAGGCGTTGCCCGGTGGCCTCTCACCTGTGCTCCTGCGTGGTGTACTTGAGCAGCTCGGCCAGCTGCAGGGGGTACTTGCAGATCTTCTGCACGGGTGTGAGCAGGAAGCCATCAATGGCGATGTCGATCATCTGCTGCAGCAGGCGGCAGGCCTCGAAGAAGTGCCGGTACCTGCTCTGCTTCATCAGGCCGGACAGCTCCGTGCAGGCCCCCGGGTGGTTGTTACAGTACTCGGAATAGATAGCGAAGCCCTCTTGCTGGGAAGGGGAAAGCACAGCGTCATCAAGCTATGGGGGCTGTGGGCTGAGACAAGGACAATCCTGTGGGAGGGGGCGTCCCTGGGAGGAGGGAGAGGTGCCCCAAGTCCTTCGGCAACGTTTTTCCCACCTGGGCAAGAAGCCAAAATCTTCTCTGTGGTAAGAGGCCATTTGCAGACTCTTCAGAGGGTTCTTATTTCTTGGGGGTGCAGGGAGAGGCTGTTCTAGGACTCAGAACCCTGGTCCCCTTCCGGGAAGCCTCCCACAGACCCGGAAAGGGTGAGTCATAGGTGCACTGGGCTTCCCCCGAGCACAGCGCCCTCTACTGTCACCCTCCTCACCCCAGCTCTGATCTAAGAGAAGAAGGTGCTGTTCTTATGCCCAACTCGCTCCCTCCTCGTCCTCTTTACTTTCCCTTTAAACTCCTTGACCAAGAGGTGAGGATTCAAAGCTACCGTCTTCTCATTGTGATATTCCCCCACTTGGCTCCCACGCACGTTGCCCACCCACCTCTAAGGCAAGCCCTTTGCTCACTTCCTTTCTCCCTGGGTCACTTCCAGGCTGCAGCCATCCTGCCGGCTTCTCCATCATGCCTGCCCTTCCCCTGGACTCTGCAGAGTGCCCTCCACCTTCTCTCCCTGCACACTCCCAAGAGCAGGCTTGCTGGCTCGGTTCTTGGGCTCTGCTCCCCACTCCAGGTGTCTCCTCACCACTGCCAGGCTTCACGGTCACAAACATTGACCTGCCCAGAGCAGGTTCCTTCCCGGCCATCTCCACTCCAACGTTTATACACAGGCGTGCTCAATCGCAACACCCACAACCAAACTCCTGCTGCCCTACAGGGCAGGCTTTCCTAACCCACCTGTTCGTTCTTTCAGACTCAAAACCCTGCGCATGGTTCTGACTGCTGCTTTTCTTTGTTACCTATGGCCAGTCTTGTCAGTTTGTCCTCAATGAGTCTGTCTTTGTGTTTCCTGCCATCACCTTGCCCAGGCCCAGAAGCAGCAACCCCTGTGGTCCTTAGCTGAACTCTCCTGTCTCCATGCAAGATCCACCCACTGAGGCTTCTTCCCGCTCCGGTGCTACTGCCTCTGCAGCCTGCCCTTCGGTGACTCAGAAGCTTCTCTTAACCTCCATGGACCTTCTACTCTGGCCAAACAGGTGTTTTACAAAGTCCCATACAGGCCCAGTGCTCTCATGGGCTCGACCTTCCCACGTGCATTATCCCCACAGCATTATTTTCAGCTATTTGAAAGCAACCACCTCGGGTATCTGCTCCACACCACTACCTCTATGAAGCTACTGGCCCCGGACCAGCCTGTGCTGCAAGAAGGTGGTGGTGGTGGTTGTCACTGCTGTTGCTATTACTATTATTGGGCCCTGGCCATTTTGGCTGGGAATAGAATCTTCCTTTGGAATTTTTTGGTATTAAATAGTGGCAGTCAGTCATCAGCTACATGATCAGCTCCTGCCATCATCACAAGACTGGCCTGCGCATTTACACTGGTTACAGGCCTGGGTCCCAGAGCCACAGGCCTCAGTCTGTCTTCCCATCTGCCACTTACTAATGTGTGACCCTAGGTCAGTTACCCTATGGGCTTCAGATTCCTCATCTGTAAAATGAGGACAATAATATACCTACCTCACAGCAGTATAGGAGCTAATATGAGAAGATCCTGAAAACAGTGCTTAACATATAATAGACAATTAATAGGTCTTATTAAAAATTACTCCAAACTGCATAAAAGGGGGAAGATTAAAAAAAATGGACTTAGTATATTTAGCTAAAGGTTAACCATATAAACTAATCAACTTACTTTACAAGTGACATCTCCATTCTATGGGCAATTAATCTAGCAAACAAAGAAACAAAAAGGACTCCTATTTTTAATGAAGAATCATTGCAAAATTATTTAACCAGATGTTATTAATAAAGAAGTAACAGGTGACATACATGTTGAAGAAAGCAGGATCCTATTTCACTTAAATGAGGCTCATCTTTATTGTACTGTTTCTCAAGGTCTTTCAGGAACTTTCTTTGGAATTTATAAATATCTTCTATGTTTCCAAAAATGGTGGCTAGCTGTGCAACAGTGAACATTCCCGTGTGCTTGCGACACTGTCGAATATAGCCCTGCAAAAGGGAACATATGCTTTTAAAAATGAATTTGGAAATTCATAGAATTTATTTCTCTGAATAATACAGTATTTTGCATCCAAAGCCATTGTCTTGGAGCAGATTTTAATTAGAGAAATTACTTTCACATCTATGGGTCTCTGTTAGGAGAATCCTACTTCCGTGGCTACAATGTGCCATGTTTTAAAAACAAAAGGAAAGAGAAAAGATGTGTGTGGTTGGATTTATCATACAAGAAGCCATATCCAGTTTCTATATTCATGAAACAAGTTGCTCAGTTTCAAATACTAGCTCAGAAATTGGCCTTGTTATATTTTTTCTAAACTCTTCAGATAATCATTCTCCGATTGCTGATTCTATTTCACAACCAAGAAGACTTGTTAGAAACTACTAATTATGCGCCCTGTTTGTACTATGGCTTCGGTAGGAGTTAGTGAGGAAAGGCCATACATATATGTAATAATTATTCCCACATTAACATCAGGTAATTACAGACTAGACTGACTCTATGGTAAAATCCACCCTGGACTATTTGGTATGAATTTTAACAGAAAGACAATGTAAAGGTTCAGGGTACAGGCTCTGGGCAGACTGCCTGGTTTAAATCCCAACCCCACCACTCAATTTTTCCACACCCCAGTTTCCTCACCTGTACACGGGCTAAGACATAGTGAGAGTGTTGTAAGAGTAAAATGAGTTAACCCAGGTAGAGAGGGGTGGCACATAGTCAATGCTCAATAATTATTAGCAATTACTTTCATCTTCATAGAATGCCACTTTAAAGAAACTCCCTTAGCCAGATATTCCTACTGAACAAGACGGCACAAACACACAAAACATTGGTATATCTGCATCTGGCCAGTTAATCCAGTTACAAATGTGCGGCTGTCTCACTTCAGCTTGTCTTCAGGGCTGAACGTTCCAGCCGAATTGAGAGTGGAGAGGTCAGCACTCGCAGCAGGACAGTCTGGTATAATGCTCACACAAAACCCACAAAAACTAAAATGCCACGGGAGGAATAAAATGCATCACACAGCATAACTATCATGATGCTGTGGAATATAGCTTTGGCTATCACTAGTGTTTTGTTCTTTTTCTACATCTAAATGACTCAGAATCTCGCCTGTGAGACAGTGTTAGAGGCAGTGGGCTGTACACCACCAAACCTTTGAATCTTGGTCAAGTTAAGTGGGGTTCACTGACAGGTGTTGCCTTCACTGACAGGCTCTTGCTCTGAATAGGCTCAGGGTTCGGCGCTGAAAGAGACAGTGGCCGAGGGCCCGAGAGAGACCTGACTGCAACAGCCTGGTGGATGGCCATGATGCTCACCACTGAGGCTCACCGAGGTAGACGCAAATGTAATGAGTGAGCAGTGTGTGCAGGAGCCAGAGGTATAGGAGGAGGTGAGGTGGAATGAGGGCTTTAAAAAATATGTGCATAGGAGGGTGTGACTGGGAACAGAAGAGAGCCAGGTGGGCATATCATAGTCATGTGAAACCTCAGTGAGGCCGCATGTCTGGCGCCCTACCTCACAGATATCCTTGAGGTGCTTGATGTACACCCGCTCAGTGTTCATGATCTCCTGGATGACGTTGGTCCGCATCTGCTGCTTGCTCTCAGAGTGTTTGTGGCGGGTCGTGCCAGCATCCTCCTGCTGCTCCTCACCCTGCGTGCTGCTGGAATTCTCCGACAGCTCTTCCTGATTGACACGCAACTGCAGTGCACACACAGGGGTGGGGGGGGGGGGGGTGGGAGAGGTGGCACCGCAACAGACAGGGGCCCCCATGGCTTCTGCTTCCTCGGGAAGGCAACCTGACCCTCGCCTGACTTATGTACTTGGCAGAGCCGCATGGCGTCAGTGGCTCAAAACACAGCAGCAGTGCCAAACAACTAGTTACCTTGGTTAAAAGTTTTCCTTTGACCCAGTTGAATTTCTAGGTTTGACTGAAACAGTTATAACAAACTGAATCTGTACAAAGAGTGAGTTTGGCCTGAACCATTCTACCTGCCGCTCCCCAGAGACAGGTGTGAGGGGTGAGAGGGCCAATACCTACCCTGACAAAGCTTGCTGGGAACCAGGCTTCCTTCTCCTCACTCCGGCCCCACCACCAGTCCTTGTTAGAGGCTTCCAGAACCTGGATGACATCTCCTGCCTTGAAGCCCAGTTCCTGGTCATCCATGGTCACGTGGTCCCACAGGGCTTCTGCACAGACCACACTGCCATCGCTGATCAGCTGAAATGGAGACACACAGGCGTGCTTAGTGCGAAAGTCAGGAGAGCAGAATGGGCGGGCAGTGGTCTGTGTGGCGTCTCAGGGTGAGATGCACATCTCCTAGTTCTCATTTGTATACGCCAATGGCTTTGGGTCAGTACTGACTGACTGTTACACAAAATGAATGAAGAAAAACATAGTAGGGAAAAGAGAATTTAGGTGAGTCTCTCTCACATGACCTTAAAGCCCAAATCCACTTTAAAAAAAAAAAAAGTATAAATAGCTCACTTATCTGTAGGTCGGTTAACTAACAAACCTGAATATCTCGAATATACACGGAGAAATGCTTTCTGAGCTGCCAAGCAAGATGCTGCCGAGCGGGGCCTCTGAAGGTCACGCAGGGGGCTTAGCTGCAAGACCCTCAGCGTCACCCAGAACTCAGCCTTCACACTTCACTCACAATTTGAAAACACTTTCTAGTTTACTGCAACCAAAGAGAACACAGAATGATCTCTAGATAGTCTACAGTTCATAATAAAAGTAAAGAACAGACGTAGCTCATGTGAGTCCAGTGCAGGGGCAGACAACAACATCCGCTTGGCTCCTGGGGCACCCTCAGAGCCTCCTCACTGAGGTGTCAAGAACTCCAAAGCTAGCGGTGCCTTCGAGAAAGACTGCTGTGAAAAAGGCTAAAGATGCAGGCTGGTAGAAAGAATACCAGATTCACAGTGAGAAATATGTGGCTCATGCCAGCTCTGCCATTTACCAGCAAGTAATTTAGCCTCTTACTTTCAGAGTGTTTATTACAATATGGACGGTAACTGCAACCTCTTAGATCGGCTGTGAGAGTTATGATAAAGGGCGAGTTAGTCAGAATGAACGGCTGCCTAAGCTAATGACTACTGCTCTTATCACAAAAAGGGAGGAACTTCATTACATAAATTGTCCTTGAAAATGCCAGAAACTGTTTGTCTAGTCAAAGTTCTAGGTTTTAGAACATGCAATAAATAATCAGAGAGCGAAGTCTGAAGCGATGCTGGCCCTGGTATCAGTGTCCACCACTGGTCACATGTGGGATCCCAGTACCTCGTTGATGGCCAGCTGCTCCCCGCCTGGCTGCAGGTATCTGGGGTTGGCCTGACAGAGGTCTTCATAGCTGTAGTCCTCCTCGCTGCCGTTGTCATCCACTAAGGCACAGGATTCAGTACCGCCATCTGAAGAAACTTAAAAAAAAGTAGTGGCATGGTTTAAAAGACACAGCTAACAAACATTTTTAAATGACAAAATCATTAGAAAGTTTCTACTGATCTATTTAATCCAAAAGTAGCAGTTGATGCTAAAAAGGGCTGGGGTTAAGCGACACATTCGGTAGGAAGGGGAATAATTCAGAGAGCATTGCTAATATTAACATAGTGTTGTTTCGTGAGCTAGGATACTGCATGAACTAGGTGTGATTTAGTTGGAAATTTGTGCTGCCAAGTGGATATAAAAATATAAATACAGATAGTGTTTCTAAGCAACATGTTGATAAAGCTTGAGAAGTAAAAGAAATGAAAAATATAATAATCATTTTTTAAAAAAGCATTTTGTTTCCATTTTTTACCTGCAAGGCAGTAGCGCTGCTAAAATCGAATGGTCCTTGTAGTATCATTAAGTGAAAACATGTAGCCATTTTTACTAGTTTTTCACATGGGAAAAGGTTGGAACTCACACTATCAGAATTGGGAATTTACCAAAAAAAGAGAAAGACCTTTTAACGATGGGTATAATGTTTTAGATTAACCACCGTGGTATTCAGATTTTCTTTCTTGGGACAGTGGCCTATTCTTGCCAAGGCTAATCTGTCATCGAGCAAAGGAAATTCAAACAACAACAGTACAGAAAAGGTCTCATGGAACGAAACGTGGCCAGATCCGATGCAACGGCAGCACATCTAACGAGAGACGAGCCTGGAAGAGCAAGCTGGGAGCACACAGCCTGTCGGGGCTTCGAGAGCACGGAGTGACGGGTTTAGAGTCACAGGGCCGGGTTTGAATTCTGGCCCTGCCCCTCTGCAGGCAGGCAGCCCTAACCAAGCAATTTAATCTCTCTGAGCTTTACATTCTGTTGTAAAAATATTTTCTTTCTTTTTAGAGAATCAAGTGAGATTTTGTATGTCAAGCTCCTGGCAACTCACTAAAGAGAGTTATTGTGGTGATGGCAGCGAGCGTGGTGGGAGCAGGGTTGGTGGGGCAGAGGCCGGATCCAGGGAAACCAGACGGGAGGCGCTGCGCCTGGGAAATGAAACTCAGAACATGGTGCGCAGGTTGAGCAGTGGGAGGGAGATGTCTGCCCTTGTTTTCATCAAGGACTTACGATTCTAAATTTGTAATAAAGGGAACAGGTCTACTTTCTAAACAAAACAACTTTAAAAATAATTTTTTTAATCCTCACTGAGGACATGTTCTTATTGATTTAAGAGAGAGAGGAAGGGAGAGAAACATTAATCGGCTGCCTCATGTAGGCACCTTACAGGGGATCGAACCCACAACATAGTTTGTGCCTTGACTGGGAGTCCAACCTGTGACTTTTTGGTATATGGGATGATGCTCCAACCAACTGAACTACATCGGCCAGGGCAGAACACCTTTCTTTTTTTAATGGCATCTTTTCTATTATTTATTTTGTACTAAGCCTTCAACATTTGATGGGCATTTTACATTTGCAGCCCACCCCATCTGGACAGGCCACATTTTAGGTGCTCCGCACGCGCAGTCAGCCCTGCCCACGCCCCAAACTCTGCGTCCCAGGCCCTCACAGCTTTCCTCCCTCCCCATCACTTCAGCTATGCTATTGTGAACAACTCTTTTAAAGCAATACGTTTTGTAAACAGAGACTAGAATTTTTACAGCAAAAACTATTGAAAAAGAATTGCAACAATGGAGGGTAATAAACGTGAAAACAAGCTCTATGAATGTATTTTTAGCACTGGATTGTTAAGTTTTCTTCACTGAACAGACAGGACAAACGATGATGATGTCGAGAGATATGCATAACACACAAAGTGCAATGGTGGGAAGGCAGACGGCCAGTGCAGTCCACAAGCTGGACCCACTCTTTC